TTGTATAGCGACAAGCTTTTAAATTAAAAAAATAATATATGTATAGAGAGAATTTTCTCTTAGAATTTACTCTGAAAATCATTATAATCAAATGGGACAATATGATATAGGATTAATATCTATCACAATAAGTAAAATATGTTCGATTAATTTTTTATTATGTACACATATTAAAATTTACTATGTACATATAAATATTTTTTATTGTGGTAAATATTAATCAGAGAAACTCTTATAAAATTCTTTTAATATACCGCATATTGTCCCATGATTATCATAATTTTCAGGGTAAATTTTAAAAGAAAATTCTCTCATAACAATGATATACTTTTTGTATTGCAATTGATGTTGTGAATTTACGCGAAAATAAAATAATTTGACATAAATTACAATTGACAGATACAAGTATAAATTCGCAAGCAAATTATCCGAGAATAAAATCAACTTTTTCGACATTTACATATTAAGAAACTCATCAATTTACGATTATTCAAATCGGTGCCCTTTCTGCGAGAGAATTGTCGGCACGTCGGTGAGCATCGATACGTGGTTTGCATCGATTGCGCGCGATTTTAGCCTCGAATTTATCCGCCCACGCCTCGGTATATCCCATCAGCGTTTCACCTCCGCCACCGCGGGATTCTTTGATAATTGAGGTCTATGCCGGCGCATGCATAAGGAGGGATATTTGTTCTCTCCACTTAAAATCGAACCGCCTCACATTCCCATATTACGCGGGTTTCGTGCCGCATTTCGCGTATCCCGCATATCCCGCATCGGAATGCCGTAGCGTGTGCGCGCCGCCCACGCTGTATCTCGCGCACGCACACGCACACACGCGCGCGCGAGTACATGGATGATATGCAACGGGGTTGAGAGAGAAAAAGGGGGGAAAGTATTCACGCACACGCGCCTGCGGCCCGCACAGATTAAACTCACGCACAGTCCGGCCCCGGGGGCGGCGTGCCAGCCAACTAATGAGAGAGACGAGCGACCGCGATGATAAAGTCTCTGGCTCGCTTGTTCCATACTAACGCCCGAATATCGTATCCGTCGACCGCTACGAGAAAGGGGCCTTCACTCCTTCTTCAGGGGCACCGCCGTGCCGCGCCGGTGTTTCGTGGGCAGAGCGAATTTAACCCTCTGAGGACCCGGGTCGCTATATACTCCTTCGAGAACAATGATAGCGTGGACGAGGACATCGAAATGTAATCTTGTCGAATCGCACAAGAGACGTTTGCAAATCTTCATTCATTATATTTGTTTCAAATTTACGTACATATATATTTATGCAACTGTGCGCGTAAATGGCGGATATGCTAATATATTTTTAAATTTACAACGAGTATCGTCAAATCAATTTCAATTACGTTGAATCAGTTTAAAAATTATTCATTCAAATCACATTTATAAAAAATAATTATTGAAATATATATATATATTTAAATTACTGAAATATAAATATAAATTATTGAAATGTATTTATTTTTCAATGTCGTAATACTTTGACATATAATATATGTGTATGCATATATAAAATGCCATGTATATATTTTATAGTTCTATCGCGTATATTATATATACATGTAAATATATTTTAATAACTGTCCTATAATTTTTATAAATATGATTCGAATTAATAATTTTCAAATTTTATTTGACAATGATTGAAATTTATTTGAAGATATATATTCACTGTACATGTTGATAAAAATATATCAGCATATCTGCTATTTATTCATATAATTTGATTTGTAGAAATAGATAACACTGAGAGATAAATATGACTCTGCTAATATTTTACTGGTTAATCAAGTAAATGATGTGTATTGTGCAATCGAGAAAGTCATGACCCAACAAAACGCATTGTATCGTATTGTTTATGAGAGTACTCTCCTGGCAATGTAGAATGCATCGCTAAACCGATGACCAAAGAAGCCCTACGGTGTGTTTGTTATTTGCAACAGCCCAATTTGCCCATTGGTCCAAGTTTATTGCCGTAACATGTACTGAAACAAAGAGATATCCACAGTAGAAAATTAGAAACTGAGAACATGCTATTTCTAGTTTAGCGGTTAAATGGAATGCAAAACACGTAATTGTAATTCAGAAATATTTATAAAGATTTTTAGAATATCTTTGCTTTACATATTTTAGATACCGAGTCGTAAAAAGAAACAAGTTTCACTATCGTGATTAATAAATACATAATATAAACCGCAATATATTGTGAACCGATATCGAATCAACATAAGAAAAAAAGGATAAAAAATATGATTCCTCCTCATAATATAAATTCACAGATCTCTTGGAAAGACTTAAAAATGAAAATGAAAGAAAATAATCCCATTTGACGACGCAAGCACGCGTTTTTTCAAGATAAACTGTCCTCCAAGCGTGTCGGTAAATTCAAAATCTGACAGCTCACGTGCGCATTAGGTTAATCGTTTCGGTTCCAGCCGTTCCTAAATTCCACTTCGCCGGAATAATATGTATGTGTTCGCGCGGTGAGTGCACGGGATGTATCGGAAGCGAGTTTACGGTCGAATAATTCGGGAACGGCACGAGAAATGTTTTATCGCGAATTAATCGAGGCGATACACGACGACGCGCGCGGTTTCTTTGTCCTCCGCATCGCGCCGGTCTCGACCGAGATTTCGAGAATGCGAGGACGGCGCACTGACATGTTGCGCTCCGACTCAAATGCTACTTGATCACGCTATACGGGGCTCTAGCTACGGGCGATATTTCAGGGAAGCGGGTATATCCCCATCCTCCACACGTGGAATCGAAATTGTGTGGAATTGACGCGATTATCAGTACACGATTATTGGTATCGGAGCATACAACAACTGAACAAAAAATGGACGAAAGAGAGGGAGACGGCGCGCGCCTTTTTCCCGCGCGAGAAATCGCGATTCGCGCGTCATTTTTTTCTGGAAACGCCGCGGTTATACTACGACAGACCACGCGATATTGTGTATGTTGGTATGCGCAAAAGGCACGATGTTACTGTTATTAGGATCGCTATGTGCGCCTCGGAGAGCGTAGAGAACGGACAGTCGGTTCGATCGTTTTCATGTTTCGCGTCGCGAGATACGGACTAATAATTCGGAAGGTGCATCGCGACATCGTTGGTAGGAGAGAGAAAGATATCGAATTGTTATTATTGAGGTGAGTCGTATATTAATTAATTATTCTTGCATTATGCGTGTGTTACCGAGAATGTCTCATTGAGATTCGCTCTCGACGATTATGTCACAGTTGATTCCTAATTTCGTTGTTAATGCTAAGATGTTGGGATTGTTTTATTCAATTGGTTTTGTATTTTCATATCTCCATGTTTATTTTTCTCGCGACTGATTATAGGTATAAATAAATGTATATACATTTAATAGAGTTATAAGGATTATAATAGGATTACAGTTATCATACACTGTAAACTTAATCTTGTCATATATAATTACATTGCGATTATAAATAAATCTCAGCGATAAAAAGCCGTCATCGATATTCCGCTGGCGGAGATCTACTTGGCCCTCTTGTAAAAGTACACCGGGGACTTCAAAGGGCGTCTCTCGCGCGCGCCGTTCGGATTCAAAGTAGCACAAGAAATCACATTTGAAAAAGAACTCGCAAAGTCCAGACATCAGGTAAGCCGGCAATTTGCATGCTATTACCGCGAGGCGTTTGTACTCTTGGGCTCTTGGGCGACGATGGGGCGCGTTTTGCCGCGCGCGGCAACCGGGACTTGTTTATTGTAATTACGAAAGTTTGGATTCTCTCTCTCTTTCTCGAAAATTCTCGCTCCCTCGCCGCCGCCGCGTCTCTTTATCCGCGCCTACGCAGCCTCCGCGAAATGAAGTTTCAGGAGGATAAGAAAGAGGAGTCGCCAGAGTTGTACGCCGGAAAATGGACGTTTGAATAAATACCGATTACGCGCGTTTCTCTTGAAGAAGCTGTAAATATTTATTCGTCGCGTTGCACGAAGAAAGAGAAAAAATCGTTCTCAAGCGGAATCGTCGCGTCGTCTGGACAATTCGCTTTATATTGGCTACTCCAAAAACGAGGTGGGATCCGGAGCTATAGAGTAGATTGACGTAACAATGATGACGGATACGTATTACGTAGGTGTAATCCCCCATCGATGCGTATCGAGAGAGAAGAACGTTTGAAAGGGTATCGAATTTGCCACGCGCTTGAGTCAACAAGCTTCTACGTCACGCTTTAAGGATTGGGGGTGGCGGAGGGTGTATATACAACGTGATCTCTCTCTCTCTTTCTCGAGTTTGTGCGGACGTGTTTATAGAAAAATCAGCTCGCGATCTTCACGTTTTCGGAACAAGAATGAGATCCTGGCACCTGACAGCCCGAAGCGTTCGCTATGTGAAAGGATACTCGGGGGACGCTCTTCGTTTGCGGTCCTCTCAATCAATAGGGGATCGATTTGTGGTAGTATCCTTTTACGTCGGGAAATTTGTGGATCACCGGGCATTTATTGATCCGTAGTAGTTCTATTGATTGTTCCTTCTTTTTACTGACGCATGGAAGGATTTGCTATCGAGCTGAGCGATTGAAAACCGTCTCATCTCGATCAAAGCATCGTTTGTCTACTAAGATAATATGCATCAGCGATGTTTTTCAGAAATTGCTATTAGTCGATTTATTATTAATATAATATCCAATTTTTTTATTGATAGAATTATCCGCGATAAAAGAAAAAATATGAATTTATGCGCAATGTTTTCATTGGTACATGGAAATAATAATATAACAAATCTATATATCGACAATAGCATAAATCCATGTTCTTTTTCTTACCGCAGATAATAATAAGAAAAATTTGTTATTATCGAATTTGGATGTACATACACGGAGATAGACGTGTCAATCGCACTTTGGCAGTTATAGATATATCGGTCTTCTCGCGACGGGCGCAAACCACTTAGGCGTAGTCAAAGTTAGGCTATCGCCTCGAATTATTAGGTAATTAGGCTAAGATGGTCCTGGTGACCATCCCGATGATGGAGAGGCAAGGTATATGCACGACTACCTACCGATGGATAAACACATGGGCAGATTACACGGCGCTCTCGGCTCTCGCATAGATATATGCAATTTAACTAGTAATTTCGAACTTACAGCGGCTTAACTTCGGGAGTAATGATGTGGTAGTTAAATTGCATCACACGAACGACTTACGGCGTTATAACGTCACGTCCTCTAAAACAAAGTGGATTATAGTGGATTTCTTGGAGAATATCTTCTACGGCAAGGCTTGAATATTTCTCTAGAAAATGCTTCTTTTCCCCTTTAAGAGTAGTGTGAGTTTAAACGAGATAAAAAGATAGATCGTTAAAATATTGTAGAATATTATATCAATATCGTGCAAAATGTTAACAAATTGTCAAGAAAATGTCATATTATTAAATAATCACTCATGTGTTATCTATCAATGTAATGATTAAAAATTTCAAACATTAAATATGTAAATATAGGAAAGCAGAATTAAAAATCAAAATATTTTATCTATTTAACATTTTAATTTTGATTTTCAATTATTTATGCTAAAGAAAATAAGACAATTAAAACAGGAGATTTTTAACGTCAAATATTTTTACTCTTATATTTTTCTTGTGTGTCTATCTCAAACTTACTAATGTCTAAATAAATTTTTCATTAAAATTTTTGAAATATCTTTGTGCCTAAGATATTGTATTTTGAAAATCATGAAGCTGGCTAGTGAAAAGATACAATTTTATTATATATTCGCTATTCATTGCAGTAATTTAATATTCATTACATACTTTTTTATCAACAATAAACGGAATAATTTTCGTTTTTTTTTTTTAAATAAAAAAAAAACCAAATCGCGATCGATTGTCGTCGCACAATCGACGAAAAAAAAAAGCAGCGAGAGAACTCCGCCTTCTCTCTCTTAAGCGTTACCCGGGGGTAGATGGAAGTGGTAATCCGCTTGGTTGTTTCCATTTATATACGCGAATCGCAATTGCAGCCGGGATATCGGAATGTTGTCGGCACGACAATGTTTGTGCGGCACGAGTGACGACTCGTACCACGCGACTCCACTCTTGAGTTGACCTCGCTCGACCTCTCGCCACACTCGATCCGACTCCGAAGTCTCGAATCGGCGGAGTCTCCTTAATTGCGCAACGCCGGCCCTCGCTGTTTGTCGATCTTTTACTCGCTTCTCTCGCTCCTTTCGCTCCACGGGCGATTCACGAACCGCCGAACCGATGAATACCGACGAAGATCGGCATCAGGTTGTTCCCGGGCGCTAATATAACACCGGGGCGCTCTTCTTCTTCCTCCTTCTCGATCGAGTCACGATTCAACATAGGCGTGGTGCGCGGCGCTTTCCAACGAGAAGACGGACGGCTTGACCTCTCTCCCGTAACTTAACGTAGAGTTCGATCTGCGGCCGGACACCACGATCGAGAGACTCGCGAATGGCGATTCGCCGTCATCCGTCCTTTCTTGCGTCGTCGAACGGAGCTTAATGTTTCACTACGGTCTCTTTAATGCATTAACGTCTCGCGCGTTAGGATACACACAGGGTGTATATCCTCCATGGAAAAACCTGGAATTTTCAGGGAATTTTGTCCTATATCTTGAAAAATTTTGAAATTTGGTTTTCAAATATAATTTCAAAGAATATAAAATTTTTTAAATTAAGGAGTATGAAAAGGCTTGTAAGAGCTGTGTAAATGGCAATTAAGTTTACTAAGAATCAACGCATTAAATAAGAAATTATAAGATACAAGCAAAAAATTAAATAAAACATGGATAATCGCATATATGGAAATTAACAATTACAATAAAATAAATTAAATAAATAGACTCATAGCGGAAAGTTAGAACGAAGTCAGAACGGACGTTTCGACTTGATTTTTCAAGTCGTCTTCAGCGCAAAATATAAATAATTACAAAAAGAATCAACTAAAACTTTGTATCAAAATTAATAACCTACAGGAGTCATAATGTGTATAAAAATATTTTACAATAACCAGATATTAAATACGTTAGCAATAGACAGTCAATTATGTTTAAAAAGAAGTTATAAGTAAATAATTATTCAAAAAGTAAACGAAAAAGTAAACCGCAAGCGTTGTGGAAGTCGTGAAGGCATCTGCTCTGTGCGTCATCTCATGAATACTTATTTCACCTCTAATTAAATGATTGAGATGAACTCTGATTATAAAAGACATAAAATTTATTAGTTTTATATAAAGTATATATTAAAATATATTTTGTTATAATATAATACTATATTATATACATGTTTCAAAATTTTATTCTAAATATTATTTAAAATACTTCAATTTTACCTGGAAAATCATGGAATCCTCAGGGAATTTCTTTCCAAGATTTGAGTATACACCTGATACAGCTATAAAAATTTGAAATTAAAGCACAAAGAAGTCGGACTGTCACTATAATCACTTGTACACCAATGTACGATTTATAAAATTGATTTCAATGTAATAATGAAACAGCGTATCTGTTTATTGCCAAGTATTCGAAGGTATATCCCAACAATGTGTAGCGGATATTAATGACTTTTTTCAATAAAAATATGTATACTTGGACATTGAATCGTTACAGAAAACAGTTAATTTATAAATAATAACGGTTAATTTAAATTTTTTTGCATTGAATCGATTGGGTGGTCAGTCGCGGGTACACATAAATGGATCGGCGAGCGACATGGCGCCCAAGGGCACTGCATCGAGGACCGTTGTATTAAACTGCCATGACATTCGTAGTCTCGACCGAAGAGAATTACATGGAAATGAATCTGTGACATACCGCTATTTATTGGAAATAATCAATATTTAATGTTGTTAAGCACAGCATTGTGGTCGCGACACGATATAGATCTCATTATACATTATATATTATATCTGATATATTAAAGATGAATCTCTTAAAATGTCTGTGTTAGCTGTCAATTCGCTCGATGTATGATCTTTTGTGAGACTGCATGTAAAGTACCCTCTCTCTCTCTTTCTTTTTCGACGCGGTGCTAGATTTTATACGCAGTTACAGATTGTCAATTGTTTCAAAGGAATGTTTGAAATGAAATTTTTAATTCAAAGGCATTCATTATGTTCTGTCCATAAATGATAAAATTAAATGACGACGCGCGAATAAATTTTTAGAGTGAACTTGCTGACAATTGCGTTTCACTATGAAAAATGTGCTTTCTTATCTCTCTCAGCATTTTCTAATCGATATAAATGAAACAAAATCAAATAAAAAATTTCGAAAAGTTTCTCGCCTGCTGCTTTTCTTAATATTCATAACCAACAATGATTAAATAAATTTAAACTATCAGCATTTTCTAATCAATCTAAATAAAAAAAAAAAAAAAAAAAAATGAAATGAGTGAAACTTTGGAAAAGTTTTTCGCTCGCTCGCTCGAAGATATCGAGCGACTCCATACACGAAAACACACTTTCCAAATGGCTGCATTCCAACGTAAAATCAGCGGCGCTCGTCACCGCTCGCCCACCCCCACAGTGTGAGGGAGCAAACGAGCTCGACGTGGATACGCGAGACCAAACACCGCGAGGAAAGGAGAAGAGAAGCGAGAGAGAGAGAAAAAAAAAGGAAGCCGACTCTAAAAGACGAAGGGGAGAAGAAAGAAGAGAGGGCGGTAATAACGCCGGTGTGAAAACTCGTCGAAATCTCCGGGATGTAAGAGCAGGGGAGGTGAGGGAGGGGGAGGGGGAGACAGAAGCTGCGTCTTGGCATACTTGTAGAGAAGATTCTCTCTTTCCCTCCACTTTTTCCCACTTCCATTCTTCCCTCTCCTCCTCCTCCTCCTCCTCTTCCTGCGCCGCTCCCGTTTTCTCCTTGACGGAGGCAGAAGGTACGAGTGGGACGGGCGAGAGAAGTCGAGGCAGCGACAACAGGGACGTACGAAGAAAGGGGCTGCAGCGTGGTAGCTCGCAGCGCACAGTGTAGTTGTGCACATAGCAACATGGTGGGGATAACGGAGGGATGGATGGACGGCGCGCGGTAGTGGCAGTACACATCCAAGGAGCAGCTTATGGATCAGAGGACGGGGAGGAAACGAGGGGTAACTGGGAGGGAGGGGGGGGGCATCGATCGGTCATGCGCAGAGAGGTCTGTGCTAGGTTCCTGTCGTTTCCATCGTGTCGCGTACATTCGCGTGCGGATGTGTTCGTGAATTGCGCGACGCTGCTGCCGAAGCAGAACCGGGATGCTGCTGCGGCACCGTCATCGCAGATACGCATCCTTCAAGATATACCCGTCTGTCTTCCTCTTTCCTCGATTTTCTATCTTGCTGTATATGTATGTTCTTTTACTTACTGGCGTGCGATGTATATTTGCGGAATTTTTCGGATAGATTTGAATATTCTCTGCGAGAGAAGAGTTTATGCAAAGTAAGTCGAGTGAGGAATCTCGACAAGCCAATTTTTGAAGAAATTAATGAAGCGATATCTACGCGATACGTGTGAATATTTATTGGAATATTTACTAAAAGTAAGAGAGAAAAATTGTCAAAAATTTTTATCAAAGTTTTCCATTTTCTTTTTATTCAAGATCATATTATAAACATTTCTTCTTCAGATATAGAACAAGTAAAGAGAAAGAGAGAGAGAGAGAGAGAGAGAGAGAGAGAGAGAGAGTGCAGAGATATAAAAACCAAATTAATCCTCTATGTATATGCGTGGACTTTAGTTTTTGCAATAACGTAATATACTCTTTAAAAGTAGAACTTTGAATATTTTTCTAAATTTATTTGATACCCTGTATGATGTTATCTCATGAAAATTTTGTTTATTCAAACTTTTTGCTGAACTTGTTTGACACTGGACAGTTTTAATGTTAAATAGCCTGCCTTGTCCCACATTTATTATAATATTACGTATATATATTACGTATAATAGTTATTACGTTATTTTATGTATATTGTGGTGCCTAATATATTTAATATATTATATATATATATATATATATGTATATATATAAAATTAACCACTAACATGTGTATTCTGTCTCTCTTTCCAAATTAACTTAGTAACCCTCAGTTACCACTCATTTTTGGCCACTCTATTTTTCCACTCATGGGTTGGAGTAACCCAGAGTCTTCTTTTGTTTATATTTCTGGATCCAATGAAGCTATTTTGAAGTATTTTTTTTCAATCGATACAAATATCACCAGATTTCTACGACTTAAGATATTTCAGAAAAAATGAAAAGCGATCTTCTAAAATCCCGAAAAAATCATTTTCGATATGGGTTAACGTAACCCAGAGAGATAACTAAGGGTTAAGGAAATCTCTCTTTTCACCTTTCTTTTTAATAATCATAAAAACAAAATTCTGTCTCTCTTTCCAAATTAACTTAATCCTCAGTTACCACTCATTTTTGGCCACTCTATTTTTCCACTCATGGGTTGGCGTAACCCAGAGTCTTCTTTTGTTTATATTTCTGGATCCAATGAAGCTATTTTGAAGTATTTCTTTTCAATCGATACAAATATCACCAGATTTCTACGACTTAAAATATTTCAGAAAAAAATGAAAAGCGATCTTCTAAAATCCCGAAAAAATCATTTTCGTTACGGGTTAACGTAACCCAGAGAGATAACTAAGGATTAAGGATATCTCTCTTTTCACCTTTCTTTTTAATAATCATAAAAACAAAATTCTGTCTCTCTTTCCAAATTAACTTAACCCTCAGTTACCACTCATTTTTGGCCACTCTATTTTTCCACTCATAGGTTGGCGTAACCCAGAGTCTTCTTTTGTTTATATTTCTGGATCCAATGAAGCTATTTTGAAGTATTTTGTTTCAATCGATACAAATATCACCAGATTTCTACGACTTAAGATATTTCAGAAAAAAATGAAAAGCGATCTTCTAAAATCCCGAAAAAATCATTTTCGATACGGCTTAACGTAACCCAGAGAGATAACTAAGTCTTAAGGATATCTCTCTTTTCACCTTTCTTTTTAATAATCATAAAAAACAAAACTCTCATCTTTCTCCTAAGATATTAAATTGCTAAAGCATTCATATACAATAGATAGAGGGGAGATATATTACATATACATTTCTACACGTGATTTATTCGCGCCTCTTTTCCACCCTCTTCGTTTCCGTCCCGGAGATGCTTTAACCGCGAACTTTCCTCGCTAAATCGCCCGCGTATTCACATCATCGGCGAGGATAAGCAATCCTGACGCTCTCAGCCGCGCACAGGGTATAGGTAGGTTATATCGCCCCGTGCTCGCAGGGTTAGGTTAAGTTAGGTTAGATCATCCCTCTCCAGCAGGCAGGTACACGGGCCGCGCAGGGTGCGTCATGTGACTGTAGGCGGAGGCACCACACCCCCGCGGGAGCAGGCAGGCGATAGTACACGCCGCGGGTGGTAGCGGAGGCGCATCGTCGCCACTGCTGAGGGGGTTGCACAGGGGTGGCGGAAGGTTTGGAAGGGAAAAGGGGGGGGAGGCGCCGCGGCGCCTCTCTCGCCTGGAGCGCAGTGCGACGTCGCGACGCGCCACGTGCGGTGGGCCAATACATATCGGAAACGGAGAGACGGAAAACGCAACGCAACGCGACGCGCCGCGCCGCGACACCGGAAGTCATCCACTCTGCGACTGTCGTCTTTCCTCACGCTCGTTCTGTGCCTCGCCATCTTCGACCGAGTGATTCCAAGGTGCGATCGAGACGTACCTGGTATACGCTGTCTGGTGTCTTGCGACCGGAGGAAAAGAGGGAGCGAGGAAGACATACGCTGTGAAGAAACGTGTAAGCGGGGGTGGAAAGAGGGGATAAGAAAAAGGAAGAGAAAGAAGGGAGCCGGTTGGTTAGGACCACGCGAGAGTAAGAGAAATTAAGAGGGAGAGAGATATAGAGAAGGAAAAGAAGGACGTGGAGAACGAAGGTGTGAGAGAGGGATATGTACTGTGTGACTGACTGGGTTTCGAATTAGCCTCTGATAATCCGCGAGCGGATTAAGTTACGCGTGTGCGTACGTGAACGCGCACGGTTCGCTTGATTCTCGTGGAGAAACGCGAGTTTCCTCGATTATTATCGTCGCCCGTCGGTGGATCGCTCCGAGACCGGAAATACGAGGCGAGGTGAGTTCGCGTCGCGTTCAGCTTCAACCCTTTAGACAGCGACGGGAATGAAGTGTGTTTCGGAAAATATATCTAATCATATGTATATTTAGTGTTTCTCGCGTATGTGATCACCGTGAATTGCGCCGGATAAATTACAGTGACCTTGGGTTGTTATGTTTCACAGTGGAATTTTCGGAGCATTCTTATAGATTACACATAGGTTAACCATTTTTTTTCGAAGGTTTTTTTCGACAATAATTATTTGGACGCACTTTTCCACAAGTGTTTTTATCCATATTTTTAAGTTTCAGTAGAAATAATAGCTTGTTCGAGTTAAACACACCTTCAGGAATATTTATATTGACGAATTATTAAAAAATTTATATAATTTTTACCTTTTTAACAAACGTGACATTTATTTTTAATGTTACGTTTTGTTTTTAAAAAATTATAAATCAATCAACTAATCAAACAATGAAGGAAATAAAAAATAATACTATAAAGATGTTGTTATCACAAGGTATGACCAAGTGATATCAGATTATAATATATTTCTCCATTTAATATCGAACTTTCTAGCGATTTCATGTTTACAAATGTGTAACTGTAAATTTTTATTTTATTTGAAAGATAGATATAAAATAGAGGCAAAAATATAAGAAAAATATTTATATAATATACATATATATATATATATAATATGGCGGCAATTTTTCGTTATTTATGAATAATGATTTTTCAAAAAAAAAAAAAAAAAAACAACAACAACTTATTTATTCTAACAGTTTACGATGATGTAATAAATATAATTGCATTTACGAAAAATAAATAACAAAAGTAGTATACGACATAGCATATAAGACTCGTCTTAATTATTCAATTAGGTATTGGATTAATTTCGGAAAATCAATCATTTTCGATTATGGATATCCGATTGACTTTATGTTTGTAAAAAAATGATACATAAATTTAATATAATAATATTCAATAGAGGTAACAATTTATAGGATAGATTAGTTTGTTTGTTGCATGATATCAAATGTGTGCTAAAATCAATGGTGACGCAGATAATTTGATCACTGTTTGATGTTTAAATGTAGGAGGTACAATCAATGTGTAAAGTGGCTTTGAGGATTCTGATTGAAATTGTACAATACTATACAGAAAATATGTTACATTTCCTGTGTTTAAATAATAATGATGTCCTTTGATTCGCACGGATGAATCACGGATATAGATGTGCGATGAAAGATGTGGTTATTAGGTGTGTGTTTTAATTTTGAAAGCGATAACAATATAATCGTATTCAGTAGTCTTTTATGAATATAACGTTGATGAGATTTTAATAATAAATTATTCTCTGAAGAGTTTCACTGCCATTATTGACTAGATTCATCGAACGATGGAAATATTGTTCATCCGAATACAAATTTTTCTCTCCAATATAAATGTTTTTGCAATTGAATGGTTATATTTTATTAGTTTATATATTTTTTATTTATTTTCGTATCCAAATTGGAACGATATGATTTTTATTACATCCAGCATTAATATTATTTTTATTACATTTAGCATTAATATTATCTCTAGAATTTATTATTACTTCATTTATACTTACTAAAGATTTTCAAACATTTTTGCATAGAATTTTCCATAATTCTTATAATCTTAGCATATTGGCCTTATATATGAAATGCTTTTATTTGCTAATTCATGTAGGTATTTATAATAAAATAAATCTGCAAATTATTCTGATAAAATTACGAAAAGACTTATAAATTGATGTCAAGTGTAAGCTACATTTTTTTTTACAAAGTGTCGAAACAACATTGTGCTTGCAAATATTTCAGAAAGTGCAGATATTTATATTCCTAGACATTTTGTAGCAATAGCGAGAAGAAGGACTATAATCTCCGCTTGCCGAGCGTCTTGAGATATCTTCTCGTTTTGTGAAAGTGTTTGCAATTAAAAAGCGGTCGTGCCACCTCGGGGAGCCGCATTTAACTTTGCTTAACTAAGTTCTCGATCCGTTGACGCGACGCCCCAGGGATTCCGGCCGACGAAAGTAATTCGCATTTTTGTTACTCATCGCAGGAAATTTTCACCAAATCTTACTTAATATTCACGCCTCGCATGATTCTGATACATGCACGACTCAATTACAATGTGAACATTTGAAGAAACATTCTCCGATAATGAGAAGCATACGTACAATTTTGTTAAACTCAATCATTTAGTTTCTATTAAAGACAATAGTATTTCTTTCGTAATGGAAGAGCAATGGGAAAGAAAAATATTTTAATTAAAAAATTATTTCATTAGATATTTGAATTTATTTTATTAATAATTCTATTATATAAAAAGCACAATTATTTGCATTGGTGGATTATATATCTTCTTCTTGACGCGATATTTTAATTTTAATTGGATTCGTCTGTTAATATTTTTTTACATTTAATTTATCCTTAATATCGTAAATATTTTTTGTAATATTTCGATATGCGTTCTTACATCCTCACTCTCATCGTTTTAATCATTCTTTTTTCAGTCCAACTTGCGTCTTGACGAAGTTGCCGACGGAAGATGTCGCCTGCCGATCATCTCGGAACGTGAGTGACAAGCTGGATCTTGGTAGCGTGCCGATCGGCGAGGAGTTCCTGGATACTTCAGAAATTTTGCAACCACGGAGGACACTAACAACATGTCTTACCTCGCTCTGGACTCCAACGCCTGGCAGGTAAGTGTTATATTTGTTACGCTTCATGGCATCTTTGCATATTGTGTGGCTTGTGCATTTTTCAAGAACTGTCATAATGTGTTTACTGCAGTTCTATACAATAATTTAGAAAAGTATAACTCGAATGGAAAAAACTATAATAAAAAAGTAAAGTAGACATAAAAGATGAATGATATTTAAATAATTCGCGAAAATTTGGATAATAAAGTGTAAGAATTTTGCTATTTGTATAAAACTCTGCAAGAGAAATTTTATCGATCGTGTTTATTGACAAAATCACGAGATAATACTTCAATACTTAACAATATTCTTAAAAATCTTTACGATCTGCAACACTTTGAGAGTAATCAGCATTTTTGTGCCAAATTAAATTTTTTCTGCTCTGTCCATCCCATATTTAATCTACTTGATTGTAGCTGAAAAATGCTACCACAAAACTATATAAATTTCAATTTAGAGAGAAAATTTTGAATAAATGTTCTATATTAAATGGAAAATGGAAGATGTGTGAAAAAATTTATATTTTAAAGCAGATATTATGTACGCGCAGGCTTTTATCAATCGAGATTTTGAACGATGATATTATAACTTCGCACACGCATAAATCTTACATAATAACTTATTACGTAATGAAATGTTCACTGAAGGCGAAAAAGTTTTACATATATTATTTAAGATATCTAAATTTACGCGCGTACATAAATTTTACGTAATGACTTGTTATATAATTGAATTTGAACGTAAGACGAAAAAGTTTTTACATATTATTTGAGATATATTTCTCACAATTATTTATAATATGATTGTAAGAATACCGGAATGTATCTTCGGGTAATTTTCGCAATGGCTGCGCGGGTGGAAATATTGAGTTTGAAGCTCGTGTTACCTCAGCTAAGGTATCAAGATACGTCGCTGCAGTAAACACATTATTCTCCGTGAATATATATCCTGGATATTCAAGCTCTCCCCGCTGCTGTATGTGACATGAATATTTATACGTAGTACAGAGACACCATGCCACATGAGTATTTCATTCTCCCGTCCGCGAATGCTGCGCTCTCTCATTATTTTATTATTATTCGAATATGTAATTCTAACGAGGCATTTGCGGAACAGAAAACTGTTTAATTGAAACATTTGTTCGATTGGCGTGCATCGATAAATCGTTGCAGGTTTCTCGTCCGCACCTGGCTCTCGAGTCGATCAAATAAAATTAATAAAACACCAATTTTTATCACAATTAAAGATTTATGAAATTTGTTTTATGCAATTTATACGCATTAATTATATATGCGAGACAAGCATATTCATATCTGCAATATCATCCGATTACGAGAGAAAGCCCCCAAAGTGTTATATACCTACTAAAGTATTATGTCTCTCCCGCGCACGCAATCGCGCACAAAAGTTCTCTCTCAACAATCCGTTCAAAAAAGCGTATTATCGAAAAAGCGTATTAAAAAAAGCCGCGTTACCAGTCGCTGAACGCTTCCTGCATACTTCCCTTAATCGCCTTAATCACTTCCGCATACGGAGCCCGCCGCGAGCAAAGCGCGCGCTAAACGGGCCCTATTCACCGCGAGCGTTTTCTGATAAACGTAGATCACCGAGGACAGATCAATCTACTTTCTACGATCGGATCCCACCCGATTCATGAACCGGCCAATCAGATACGGATGTCGAAAGAGAGCTGGCATCCCCATCAGAGACGCGATCATTACCGACGCAAATTAGCGACGCTCGATCCACGTTCCGACATTTCGCATGCGATGTGTAGAACGAGTTTGCGCGATTACGCGCTGAAAAACGATGCTGGCGGGTTTTAAGTAATACGCGCACGCGATCGCGCGAGATGCCCCCTGTATACACGGTACCCCTAAAGCAGGAGCCCTACGTGCAGCAGATTCAGTCGTTATCTAAGGAGAAGAAAAAGGGTGTGAGCAAACGCGAAGTTTTTATGTATACACACGAGACTCTTACGCATATTTATACAAATGCGGGGATAACTATCGAGAAACTCTAGAAAATGTCTAATAATTCTTCTGCGAGAAGACAGCGAATGTGCATGTGAAAAATATTTATATCCGGATCTCTCTTTCACGATAAAATATATAGATGAAATTATAAATGCAATTTTATTTAAAAATACAGAGATATGAAAAATGCAGCTTTCTTGTTGAAAAATATTGTTTGTTAATATAATATATGCATCTCACGCGTTTAATATTGATGGGGGTTATCGAATCTATTAACTTTATGAATGGCACATATTTGGTTACTCGTCCAGAAATCGTATTTTTTCATTGCGCCGCATCTTTATTTTATTTCGAGAGAGAGAGAGAGATAATTATTTACAATAAATTTCTCTGCACTGTTTACAATTAATCACAATTTATAAAATCATTCAATCTATTCCCTATTGTTTAATAACTTTTGCAAAAATTAACTATGCAACATTTTATGCCCGATAATAAATATTGCTTGCGCGTTTCATCATTTTTGTCTGGATTTTCGAAGCGCGATATAACGCGCAAGTCATCAATTATTTTTATTTATTATTAATCAATTATATTGATCGCTCCAACAAAATAAAATATTATCCTTTTATAAATTTTTCGTTAGACGTTTCTAAAATATTTTTAAAGCGATAATTTACATGTTATTTATTTGTTTGTAATTTAATTATACCATTCTATAAATAAATTTATCATTTTATAGAATATTACATTTGGGTAGATCACATATGTCACGATTGACGGAGTCGACATTAATCGTTCGTTCGAACGACTTAAAAAAAAACTTGCGCACAAATGGCGAGGATGTGGGTAAAAAGTCTTCGATCTGGTAAAAAAAACTCACCCGCACTTTGGACACGGTATGGCGCGCATCAGTTCTCCCCTTTGTGATGGTCACGGAAATCATATAGTAACAGCAGGAAATGTAAGTTCTCGAGCATGGAGGATAGCGGAAACACGTTTAGGTAGTAGCTCCGTATTGAATTATGTTGTTAGTCGAGTTCGCTAGCTTCGCCTATGTCGTTTGAAAGGTAATCCCGCAACGGTCGACTACTACTTCTCGTGTCTTAGCCTTATCTGCTGACGCTTTAATTTGTTTCCTTGATAACAAGTACCTGAAGGATGTTTCCTCAGAGAGGAACACTCAATCATTTATTTAAATTATGCGAGAGAAATATTGCATTTAACATGCCCCCGAAACGGAACGATACCTGTAACGAGGAGATTTTCGTACTTTTCTCTTACGTTTCATATATATTCTTTATAATATGTAGTCCGTTTGCGCGATTAAATTTCGAATTCTTACAATTCTATCGTTTTCTTATATAAATAATAATTACGATATCTAATTATACATAGTTATTAACTTATATATCGTGTTATTATAGTACGATATATAATTATACATTTAACAATTAAACGCTAAGAAGGAAATGTTGAGTTAAATACATTGCATTTTTATATGCTCTAAATAAATGATTTCTGACAAAATGAGTGGAATAACATATAATGTTCAAAATTATGATATTTTGAAATTGGTGATTTATACGCGCAGCCACTATTTTGGGTTATCAAATAGAAAGTATGCCGATTCTGTTCTACATAAAAATAATTACTATTGAAATTTTCAGTTTTACCGTTTTGTTTGGTCGGTTTTGTTTACACACAGAAATATACAGGCTTGACAAAACAAAATACATCAAAAAAGCTGCTTCATTGGAAACCAGCTTCGTCGTTATAAAATTGTTCGCTATTGAAAAAGCTTCGTAGCCGAAAAATATGGGGAAATAATAATACGCGGTATATAGGAAGAAAGTCGTCGAAATGCAGGAACGCTCGATGCGCGCGGGAGTGACGAGTATTTGCACATTTTCCAATAAAGTATGATCCGGGGTCACGTGGCAAAGCTGAGTGGCGGGTTGTGTCTTTGGCTGAAATAACAAGGGTCGCACCCGCCACGCCAGGAGGATTAATACTTTGCTCTCACGTGCCATCTTTGCCGAAGATCACTCTCGTGTCTTTCGCGTCCCCTTTCCTCTTTCGTTTACCGCAAGTCTCGCCCCGAATATGCATTGACAGGGCAACCACGAATAATGTGACATCTCGCGATACTTTATCGTGAGACAAGTACATAATTCGGTCGGATTTAGCGATCTCGTTAAGTTGCATATCGTTTTATCGCGCCGCGATTTCGTCCATTTTTTTTAATGCACTGCGGTTGTACAAAAAATATTATGTCTCACAATTCTTTTATTTGGATATGTACGAAAATTGGAATTCTTGCAAGATTTTTGAGAGAGGAAATAGTATAAAAAATACGTTTAATTAAAAAATTGCGCTTTTCCGTATTCTTTATAAGTATTTTCTAACGCGTACAAGTTCTAATTAACATTTTATAATTTCTCGAATTAATTTTCGAAAGCAGGCAAAATTTTATTTTTAAACGTGTAAAACGAAATACTGCGCTTTAAACTCGCGGTCGAATAATCGTCGATATAATAATGTTAGATAATATTGAATTATTTGATTATAAATGAGAATGGTATTTTTGTCGCATACTTTCAAATATATCGAAGATAAATTTTCGAATATTATTGAACAAAAATTGTGGATCCGTTTCCTAGCGAAAAACGTCACTATATAGGTTCGCCTGATTTAAATTGTCTAATCTTGCCCGATGCGCCGCTCGATTTAACGAAAAAATAACATTTTTCTATCAGCTGACACACCGGTTTCGCTTTCAGTGTAACCGAGCGTTACGATCTTCTATCTATCCGTCCAATATATACTCGAGTTATTTGTCGCTTTATCTGCGCTTAATGCGTGATTCACTATTTTGCATGGCGGGAACAGTTGGTGGCTACATCAAAAACCCACCGGCACTTCAAAGTTGCTAGATTCGTGCGCGTCCTCGTTCACGGGGGTAGAGCTTCGTTTGCGACGATAGGGAGGGCGGTAGAAGAAAGGAGAAGAAGGGTGAACGAA